ATCCAGGGTTTCTGACTCCTCGCCCTGCAAAAAATGATAGAGTCTTCAACTTCAATTGTTTTAACATTGTAGAATAGAGGAATTCAAGTATTGCCATGATGCTAATCATTACAAACTACAGTGAAGTATTGTACATACATGCTTCTTCTATACAAATCAAAAAAGCTGCAGGTATCACCATTGCATGGTTCTAGATTTTACAGCAGCTGCCCCTAAGCTTTTCACACACTTTTATTTTTATTTTCTTAGATATGTACAAGATATTCCTTTGATCCACAGATAGCAAATGCTTATCGAGGCAGGTCAAATTTTTTTTCTTGCCAAACTTAATTTAATTACACCGGAAATAAAACAGAAATGAAGAAGTATAACATAAAAAGACAAAAAGATAAACAAGAAAAGAAAAAAAAGGAAAATTACAGATGTTCATTTTAAAGGAGAAAAAGTTCTAGAGTTTTAAAGTAGAACTGGTTCAATTTGGTTCAATTTTGCTGTATTTGAATTTTAGCATTGTCTCATCAGGCTCCATATAAGAATCCTCAGTTTGGAAACGTTGATGAGTGAGTAGTATATGTGTATGGATGTTTGAAGTTCTTGCAAACAGTTTCATGATATTAGAAGGTGCACTAACATTATGAACATCGAGCATTAATTTACATGCAGCTTCATCATGTGAGAAGATAGAATTTTTGCAGTTAGAAATAAGGGGATTGCATGTTCCTTTCTATCAACTAAGTTGATAGACTAAAATTACCTTAAAACCTCTTTTGCGTTAACTACAATTTACGTAGTAAAACACTTTAGTTTGCATGACCAACAGCAACTTATACATCTCATAAATTATGAGATATTGCAGTTGGTCTTGCAAATTATAATGTTATAATGATTGATTATCAAAACAGCGATAACAGGCTCTCGGTTCAGTAGTGAGGTAAAGTACCTTTGTAAAAATTCTTGTTTCCCATCTTTCCTGTCATAACACGACGCGTTGCGCCTCTGAAGAGTCCTCGAAGTATATTTAATGGCATTGATCTTCTCCTTTCGCACTCAAATTGCAAATAATTATATCAAGAACTTTTAGCCCTAGATTTCAAAATGGCGACTGCTAAGTATCCACGCCTGTTAAAAACTTTTTGTCCCAGACTCCTCTCACTTAGCACAACATGACGGAGAAGACAGCGTGACAGTCTGACATGTCTAATGATGATGTTTCGTAGCAAGTTTTAGAGAATATGTCAACACAGAAGAAATCTTCCTCTACTGCTAGGAACAAAAACATTTCAGTGTCAAGCCCTGCTCGCAAATCAAGCGAAGGAGTCGTTGGGGATCATTTTTCTCAGGCTAGAATCAAGGAGGTGAGCTTGTCGTAAACACTTTGGCTTTGAACAGTGATCTTTCAAGCAGCAAGCCCAGTAAAGTTAGGTTTCACACATTTAAAAAACATATCGGTCGCGAAATTTCTTAAGTGCTAAATTACTTACGAAGAAGGTTAATGTAAGCAGTTTGTAAAAAGAACTCGGTAAAACTCGCGATGAATTTTTACCGACTTCTTTACAATACACAACAAGTTATTTCATCATTTTCGTGTTTCTCTTTACAACAGTAAGTTGAAATAAGAGGCTTAAATGGCCCATGGTCCATCATATAACAAATCACTTATTTTATTAAACCCTTAGTTACCTAATATGAAAAGGACATGAACTCCTAAAGGGCAAAGTAATCTAACAACTCTGTCACTTAAATGTCACACATTCCCATGTAGAAAAATCAAAAGAAAGTAGTGTAACATCAAGATAGCACTCAACAACAAACAACAAAGAGAATTCCCTTGATGATCATCTTTTTTTGGAGTTCAAAGTTTATCTCTAGTACAGCGTTGGCATCAAGTACCAGGTTTGTTCATGCTTGCCTTGAATTCAGCAAGAGAAGAATCCTCAGTCTTTTTAACCCTTTAACTCCCAGATCAAATTTGTCGTTCTCCTTACTGTCAACCATACAATCCTTATAATGTTAGTTTAGAGAATTTAGTATTGAATCAACTAATTATACCCAAATTGATATTTTTCTTTTTTCTCATCACTTATCTGGTTAAAATTGCATTGATATTGTATGGAGAAATTCTGTCTTGGTCACTCATGGGAGTTAAAGGGTTAAAGATCTGGAGGTGGCTGTAAAGTTTAAAGAATTAACAAGATGTTACTGCAACCATACTATCCATTTGAAATTATCACAACTGGAGCTCATTACCAAAGGGAAAGTACATTTTGCCCTCAACAAGAATCTTTAATTTTATGGGGTTTCTCTTTGCCCTTTATTTAACCCCCATGAATGATCAAGACAAAATTTCTCCTTGGGAAATCAATGCAATATTAACCAGACAAGTAATGAGAACTCTATAAGAATTTTGTTGCACACAGTAAGGAGAATTACTGAGGAGATCTTGAGAGTGAAAGGGTCAAAGTGGTGGTCTCTCTCATTTAATCCATGTGACAGTCAAACAAGCATGTCCTGGACTATGAAATCTCATTCATATGAAATAATAACATGATTTATCAATTTTTTTAAAGTTAGTGTATTGCATGATAATTTAAATATTTCAATATCAGTAATATAAATCATATGGCCTCTGATTGAAAAACATGCTTATAAAACTGCATCTTTGCTTGAACCCCAAATATGAGAGATCTCTTTCCTAGCTAAAGATTCTGGGAGGTCAATCCAGTGGCAGATTGTTTTACTCAGTATGAGTTCCATGTTCTTAGCACAGTATTTTGCATTTTTGAGAAAGAAGAGGATTAATATACAATTCAGATAAAAAGATAACAGAGTCACAGGGATTTTTAAAATAACATTTTTCCATAAGCAGCTTTAATATGTGACTGTGCCTAGAATGGAGTTGCCAGGCCACCTTCTCTCTGAAGGGGGGTCTGGTGGCATGCTCCCCTTAAAAAAAGTTTGAAATTTAGAATCTTAGGAATGTAACTTCTAGCATATTACTTGACTAAACAATATGAAAAAATATCTGTATTTATTACCCACTTGTTCCTATGACTAAATACATATTTTTATTTAGTGCTCAACCAGCTTTGTATGTATTTACACCATTTCAGCTTGAGCAGCAAGTTTCAGATCTTAAGAAGCGCCTAGATGAACTACGCAAAGCAAAAAACACTACCATCATTAAGAAGGACAAAGAATATGTAACTACAGGAACACCAAAAGCCTCTTCCATAAATGCTTCTACAGGATCACCAGGTCTCGCTGATTACCATAAGGAGAGGGTAACTTCATCTGACACATGTGCAGTACCTCAAAATAAGCTCCAAGAGGAGGATGTCAGAATATTACAGAAAAATATCGCCTCTTTGAAAGAACTTCACAAAGCTGAGCTCGAGGAACTGAGAAAAGAAGTAGAGAAGCAGGTTTGGGTGTTTACATTTAGAATCATTCTGAACAATATTTGCGATTCTTGCAGATTTTCCTGATTTCCTCACATCGAGATAAGCAGTCAGTTTCCACTAGAATTTAACAAGCTTTTTTAATTTGATCAGCAAGAACTTTATATCTTTCTTTTGAAAAGTGTTACGCCTAACGTAGTAGCATCCTTTGTACTCTTCGGAGTTACCTACATTATATGCTATTGCACTCATCTCCTCCTTAGTAAAATTAACAATACGCAAGGTAGCCATTTTGAAATATCCTTGCTTTAATCCTCTCGCGTGAGTGGATTATAGCGAGAAATGACTCAATCCTCAACCAATCAGAATGCGAGAATGTCTATAATCAACTGAGCAATTGAACCAAGAACAAGGTTATTCGTCGTTGGAAATACGCGTACATTTTATTAACAGGCCAGACAGTCAGACTCAAACATGGCAGCTGAACTCGAAAAACTCAAACAGGAAAATGAGGAACTTAAGGAAGAAAATAGATTGTTGCGTACCAGGGAAACAGGACTTCAACTGCAGGTTGATAATTTGTTGGAAGAACTAAGCAAGAAAGAAGCAGAATGGTGTTCGAAAGAGGAAAAGCTCATGTTAGAGGTACCTATCATTTTGGCACAGAGCAGTTTTCAATTGAATGTTTAAACTAAGTAAACTGAGATTGCATTGGCTTTCCTTACTTCGCTCTGTGATTGGTCCAGAAAACTCGCGCCACTTTCTCAATCAATCAGGTGAAAAACGAAAACCAATCACGACTTGGTCGCCCGCGTTTTCCCGCGCTTTAGGCAGTTTGCTTAGTTTTACTTTGAGTTTTCATTGCCTAATAATAATGTTAACAATAATGTTTCCTTTTTTTTTTATTAAATTGGTTTAAAAACTTGCGCTGGTCTCTCAGCCAATTACATGCAAACTGAAGCAAATCGTGTCTTGGTACTCGCGTTTCGGGCATCAAAATTTCTTCATCTGACCAACACTGAGGAATATTGCATTTGTTTTGCGTGTAGATAAAGACTTCTTGGGGTGAAAAGTACCAACAATGGATGGCTCAGACAGAACAGAAGATTGAAGAACTGCAGGCAGCCAACGATTTTCTGTAAGATTTGCTTGGTTGTATTTGTGTGATCCTCCAGAGAAACTTTAATTTGTTTTAAATGTAGGGCTGTTTTTTGAGTGGAAAGAATATCCATACGGGATTTGAACCCATGACCACTGCGATACCGGTGCAGCGCTCTACCACCTGAGCTAACAAGCCAACTGGGAGCTGGTCATTATTTCAACTACTAGTTCAGTAGTGTTCATAACTGCGAGGATCGCTTATATTCGTTTCTTATACCGCAGTGCACATATATGATTTTCATATATTTCCAGTCATCATTCACCAAATTGGCATAAAGTAATTGAAATATTCCATAGTTTAATTTTTGTTTTTACAAACAAATTAGGGAAAGAGGAAGCTTTTATTTCTTTATTTTATGAGTGGGACAAAGTTAGCTTGCACGAAGGCCCTCATAATTCAAGCTTCGACACAAGTGTTTCCTCGCCTACAGCGAAAGTACGAGGCTTTCAGCAACGTGAGCGGAGGGGAGGTCTGCCTCGGACCTTGCATTGATAATGATTAGTGCCAGCCCTCCGGCTAACTTCCCCCGACTCGCCTCACATCTTCTTACGGGCAGAGAGACACGCGTCTTGCTGCGTTTATTATGAGAGCCTGCTTGCAAGTTACAACAAAGTCAACGAGGAATGGAATCCAGAACGTCGTATTTCGGTGCGCCCCGATGTTCCACCACTTTAAGTTACAGAGAACTCGCTAGTGAGTCATGCTAGCGACAATTCAATTGCGAAGCGTCGTTTTTTCCTTTAAAAATTATTATCTTGCGTATCACCAGGAAAAGATTGCTACAAGAGAAGAACCAGCCCAGTATGAACTGATGATGCTTTGAGAATAGAGGTTCAAATGATGGGATAGCTGCAGTTAGTTATCTACTTTTGCGGCGAAAACTGTAGCCTCTACTTTTCTCGAAAAGATTCAACGGTCCACGGTCTCCCAGATAGAGCCATTACCGGCGTGGCGAGTAAGAAGGGCAGCAGTGAGCAGAATAGATCACACATTCCTCGGCGCTCATGGCGAGAAGTTATTGAAACCTCTGAAGGAGGGAGGAAGCAAGCATGATAACAACAACAACCACAACGACGACTGAAACCATGCAATCACCACATGACCACTCATGTTTTCCTCCGCTGCGGGCAGTTTTGCATCCTGTCCTTGTCTTGGTTATGTTTGTTCCGGTTTGCACTTGTGATTACTTCGATTCTAGTTTTGCGACTCTCAATCGAAAAGCGGAAGAAAAACCAAGATAACCACCTTTAGACAACATTATTACGAACTAAGATTTGATTTTAAAGTGTAACTAAGTGCAAAGTGTGAAAGCAATCGTGAATATTCGGTTATCGCGATTTCAAAACACAAATGGCTTCCGTGCCTTAGACCCGCGGAGAACAATGTGTGCACCGTATATCCGTGAAAACCCTCAATGAAACCTTTTTACATATTTAAGTTATGATGATTTTACATTTCAAAAGACAGATCCGTTGTGTTGGTGGATGTGGGAAGATAAATATTATGCCTTTACAAACTTTCAAAATATTGAGGACAA